AAATATCGACCTGAAAGAGACACATCGAGTGGCTGCCACCTGCACGACCAACCAGGGCCAGGGACAAACTGCAACCGAGGTACGCACCCTTAGCAGGAACCGAATCTGGGTCTCTCTGGATCGCAGGCTGACGCTCTAACTGCTGAGCAAAACTGGCCAGGGCCTGCAAAAATTTTGATTCCTGCATTTTTATTTTTTATTTATTTTTATCCTCACTCGAGGACTTTTTTTTCTTTCTTTTTTTTTTTTGCATTTACCTTCAGATAAAGCAAGAGGGAGAGAAGGAGGGAAAGAGAGAGAAACATCAATGCGAGAGACACACACCAACTGGTTGCCACCCACATGACCCCAACAGGGCCCAGGGACAAATTGCAACCGAGGTACGTGCCCTTAGCAGGAACCGAACCTGGGACTCTCTGGTCCGTAGGCCGATGCTCTAACAGCTGAGCCAAACCGGCCAAGGTTGATTTCTGCATTTTTTAAATTAACATTATAATATTAATCTATCTTTATGTAACTTTAAACTCTTCTCAGGTATCTTTTTTCATCTCCCAGAACATTTTGCCACAGCAAATGCATGCTGGTCCTGTCCGGCTTGCCCTCCTCTTAATCTCAGCACATTGTCCTTGGTGGGCACACAGACCTGGAATCAGGCAGCCTCTCTGAGTCAGCCCATCTCTGCCTCTCCAGAGCTGAGTGACCTTGGGCCAGTTACTATTCTTCTGGGCCTGTTTCTTCCACACTGCGTTGTTGTGAAGATTAGGTACTTCATAGTGTGATGACACAAATCTCAGTTTGCTTAATAGGACTGAATTCCTAGAAGTGGATTGCTGGGTCCATGCTGTGACCATTTGGGAAGCTTAGCAACTGGTTCTTGCCCAGTGGGTCCTTATCCAGTAGTGATTCATTCAGCAATATTCTTTGAGCACCTATAGGAAATTGTTCTAGGCACTGGGCTTATAGTGTGAATAGAGAGACAGAAATTCCTGTCAGGGAGGATTTATATTTTAGCAGGGGCAGACAACCAACATCAAATCAGAAAATAATAGCGTATGTTTGAAGGTGATAATAGCTATGGAAAATAGAGTGGAGTAGGAGTAGTCAGGGCAGTCAGTTTCCTCACCAGAAAGTAACATTTCCATAGTGATTCAAAGAAGGTAAACCTGAGAGCCAGTGGAGCTCCTGGGGGAAGAATCTTCAAATGCACAGGCCCAAGTTAGGAGTATGCCTGGTATGTTGGATTGAGGGGACAGTTCAAGATGCAGTATGGGCCATGTCACATGGGAAAACAAGGGCACAGAAGCCAGAGACCAAGAGCCATCCCAGGAGGGCCACACACTGCTGCTCAGCCCACATGACCTCCCAGAGGAAGGAATGGAACAGTCCTGCTTGCCTGTGTCCTCAAGGCCTACAAGAAATGCTCAGGAACCACTGGGGGACACTGGGCAGATGGGCTTGGCTCCTAACCTCACCACTCTGACCCCCAAGTTGGTGCATGACTCCTGCACGTCTCCAGGAACCTCCCTGTTTTGGCCCCTGCAGAGCAGGGTGCATGAGGTGCCTTATGGATGTGGTATGTAGGGGGCCACACATCTTCATCCATCCTTGAGTGTCACACTCATTCCAGCCTAGGACTTAACACTTACATTCCCTTTGCTACAGTCCCTTGCTCAAGATCTCCATGTGGCTGACCCCATGACATCTGGTCCCAGTTCCAGCATTCTTCCTCAAAGAAGTCTACCCTTGGCACATGGTATCTGGCCACCGTCTGCTCCCAGGGACACAGTGGTTTTGTTTCCTTGATTGTCTGGCTTGATTATTGTCTGCCCCTTCTCAGATTAGTAAACTTTGTCGGGGCTGAGCCCTGGTCTGCAATGTTCACCACCAGTGTTTCCCAGTCCTGGAGCAATTTTTCAAATGAAAGGCCAGGGTCAGGTTGGAAGAAGCTCAGCATGGCTCAGGGCTGAGTGCCACTGAGTCTATACTCTGACCTGCCCTTTACTTCCCTCCATTTGCCACTGGCTAAGAAAAAAAAAAAAAAAGACCACTGTGAACAAAGCAGTTCCTGGTGACATTTGCCATGAATCCAAACAGCCCAATAGCCCTGGCGGACAAGTCTATATTGATCAGGTGTTCTAGGCATTGTGTCCAGGCTGCCCTGGAATGGAGCAGTGGAAAACAAGCCTGGCCATCTCAGAAGAACAACTAAATGGCCACATCTTTACCAGTGCCAGATAGATTTTCTGGCTCTGCCTTCTTTGAGCAATAGGAGGTATGTACTATATGTAACAAGAGCCATCTCAGGCAAGATGGGCTGCCAATTGGACCACACCTGTCTCCCAGCCAGACACAGACACTGGGGAGCCCCTTTCCTCTTCAGCCATCAGACCTCTGGGCACCAGAGGGAGACAGGCTGCCCATGTCATTTGTCGGTGTCTGGTGCCAGCCACCTTCTCTGTTTGCAAAAGAAAGGCCAGATACCTGCAGGCCTGGCCCTTCCTCATAAAGGCTGGCCCAGGGCCATTTCCATGCCCTGCACTTCATCCCAGAGGAGCACAGACCAACAGGGTATGGAGCCTGTGATTAGATACCTTGCTGGAAGGCACCTCCCTTTGGTACAGATCCCCAAGGCCTGTAGCATCTTAGATCTCCATTAACATCAGCTGTGTGTCCTGGGCTTCCCAGGTAATGCAGGCTTCTTTTTTTTTTTTTATCCTCACCCGAGGATGTTTTTCCATTTTTTGTACAGATAGAGTGGGAGGGAGAGAGAGAAAGGGAGAGAGAGTGAGAAACATCGACGTGAAGGGACACATCGAGTGGCTGCCACCCGCACGACCAACCAGGGCCGGGGACAAACTGCGACCGAAGTACGTGCCCTTAGCGGGAACCGAACCCGGGTCTCTCCGGACCGCAGGCCGACGCTCTAACTGCTGAGCCAAACTGGCCAAGGCTAATGCAGGCTTCTTAATGGCTGCCTGTAAAGAGGAAGACCAAGTTCTTCCTGCAGTGAGTAGGGCTGTTCTTTACCGATGCTATGGATATCCCTTGAACCATTCTCCTGGCCACCTTTTTAAGTGTTCAGGAGCTGCAGGGCCAGTATAAGATGCTCTCACAGCCCCCATTTCCCTGCAGAACCAGTTTTAGGAATCTGCTGAAGGTGGAGTCCTTCTGTAGTGATGAGCTAGAGGGCAGTAGCCTGCATTTACCATCAGATGCAGGTCCAGGGATCAAATGCTGGCTCTTCTCAGCTCACTGTGGGGCCTTGAATGAGTCACTGCTCTCTGGAGGCTCCGATTTCTCATCTGCAAATGAAAGGATTGCTGAAATCTTCAGCAAACGGCATGGAGTGCCTTAAGCAAGAGCTAACCTGCCTGCCCTGCCACTCAGCACTCCCTGTCTGGTTGAGATCCACCAGGCCAGATCCTCTCAGCACTGAAACTTGATGCCCAAGCTCCGTGACTAGCTTCTGTTCAGAGCTCACCCAGGCAAGACTGGGGCCAGGAAGGAACCCCTTCAGGTGCCAGCAGACATAGAGTAGGGCATGCAAGGAGGGGAGCCCTCTGACTTGTGCTTATCCCCAACTTCCTGCCAGCTCTGGACACCCAGCCTCTAAAACCACTGGCTGATGCAACTGTTCTGAGGAAATCAGAAGTGAGTGCCTTTTCTGGGGGATGCAGAGGCCTACCGTGTTTTGGCAAGTGGGGTGTAGGCTAGGCTCTACCCCACTTGCCCCTCACCAGATTATGAAGGCTTCATACCCAGCTCCCCCGGTAGAAGTCCCAGCCACTGCCACCTGTTGGACCTCCCTGCCCCGTGCCCATCTCATGGTGCCCTCCTAAGCTCAGCCTTGCCACAGCCTTGCCAACTTGCTCCCTCCAGGACCCCCTAGTGGGGTTGTGGTGCTTACAAAGGGTGAGTGGCTGTTTCAGGACACTCCACTGATGTCGAGCTGAGATGGGGGCCAGCCAGGTGGTCTTGTCTGGACCAGCAGCCCACAAGGAGGCTGCATGGTATTGCCACCAAACAGATTCCTCATCAAGACAAGCCCCCGAGAAAGAGTACTACAGCTTGGTGTTTCAGGATTATTGGGGCAGGAAGGGAAAGGTATTTAAGGCAGAGGGAACAGTATATGCACAGGCTCTAGTGTGATGGAAGCCTAGGAACAGCCCTGTGTTCCTCAAGGCTGTAGGGAAATAGTAGTGGGGCTGAAACAGTCAGGTGGGCATTAGGTGTCAGCAGGAAATAGGTTTCTGCTCAGCTGTTTGGCTGGAGGGAGTGAAGAGGGTCTGTACCAAGGTGTCAGCAGGCAAAGGAGCTGGTAAGATATGGTGGGAAGCAAGGATGCCTGGGGGCAGAGGGATAACATCTTCTATGGCCCAGGGAGAAGAACCCCCAACAGAAATTCTGGCCAAAGAAGTGGGGTCAACATCCAGCTGCTGTCTCCTCCACCCCTCTGATATACTAGTGCTCCCATTTGCTAAACTCAATGAAAGACCAGAGAACATGGGAGCCCACAATGTCGTTGGCAGAGGTCAGCCTCCCAGACCATGGGGCAGAGAGTGGGGAACACCTAGGCCAGTGGGCCTCAGTTTGAGGATGTGGGTCTCAACATGAGTGTGTTGGAAAGCAACAGAACCATTTAGAGCAGAGGAAGGACATGTCCACCAGGTATAGGGTTGATCCCTGTAGGGGCCTGAGCAGGGTGCATGGGTGGGCAAGGGACCCAGAAAACAAAATGGGAATCCCTGCTGAGCTCCAAGCTGGATGGACCAGTAGGATGCACTAGCACAGGGGGAGAAGATAGCCTGCAGGGATTTAGGTGGCAAAGTGCAACTCAGGCCTCAGGGGTCCATTGGCTGGGGAGGGAATAACAAAGGAGCTTGGGGTTCTGGCTCAGGTTAAGGGAGTATGATGGTGAGCCAGTACAGGTGCCCATCAGGGTGGCAAGTGGGCAGGCTGAGGTGTGGCAGAGTGATAGCCTTTCCCTCTGTGCCTTGCAGGTGGCCTCAGCCCTGAGTCCAAGAAGATTTTGACACCAGCACTCAAGAAGCGGAGTCGGGCCAGCAGAGGGGAGGTGGCCAAGCAGGAGGAGGGTGTGGAGCGGCCAGAGCCTACGCAGCATGTGACACTCAGCCTGTCTTTTAAGCGTTATGTCTTTGACACCCACAAGCATATGGTCCAGTCTCCCTGAGTGACTCCAGGCCACCTTACCTGGGCCCAGGCTGGGCCACAGTGCCAAATGCCCAACCAGACGTGCCTCAACCTCCTGCAATCTCTTCTCCCAGCTCTGCAGGCAGCAGATCCACAGGCCTGATGTTTAGCAGGAGGCAGTGTCCCTCCACCCCTGCACCCTCCTGCTAGAGGACAGCACCCAAGGAAGAATGGGACTCAGCTGGAGAGCTGGTGGTCAATATCTCCCAGGCTGCCCAGCTGGTGGCCACTGAGGGCCTCACTGGTCCTCAGAGAGACCCAGACATCAGGCAACCCTGTACTTGCCAGCTGTGAATAAATGTCACATGATGCCCCTCACCCCCTACCGCTCATCTCTGTGATTTCATCTGAAGACTCCCCTACCCCTACCATCCATAAATGTAAGGGGAACAACCAGGGCTCCTGCAAGGGGGGCTGGGGAAGGGACTCCAACTCAGAGCCCAGTGGGCTGAGAAGTCCACAAGATGTTGGACCTCCACATCTACTAGACTGGGTGGCCTCCAGAATCTCCTGGGCCTTCAGGGTACATGGGGGTTCTCTGGGCAGTCAAGTCCAGGAAGGACACTCAATGGGGTGTCAGGAAACATTGGGGCACCGGCTCAGGGCATTGGGCTAGAGGGGTTGCTCATCTCAACTCCAGGAGTCTTTGTGCCCCTGCCCTGGAGTTTAGGACCCACACTCCCCCCAGAGTGTGGAGGTGAGGGCCAGTGACAGCCCTGCACAGAAGCATGCTACAAGCCAAGGAATGTGAGCATTGCCCTTGCTCCTCTGCCTCCTGCCTCCACAGACCACCCCACCTTGAGGCCCAAGCTATTGATCATCAGAAAAGGGTGAAATGGCAGAATTGACTGAGGGGAAATCAAAGCTTTTAAAGACATCTGCAGGATGAACAGATGTTCCAACTTTCCTTTATTTAGCCTCCAGACAGACGTAGAGGCCACCCTTTTATCCCGGTAATCAGTGCATTATGCTTTAATTTGTAAAAATGACATTAAAAATATGAACAGGGACAGGTTTCGATCAAATGACTTGGCAATGTAAAGCCCTGGAGCTTTTGGCAGAGAGGAAAGAGGAAGTGGTGCTGCAGACTACACCATCTCCAAAAACATCAGTTGGGTCTGTTGTGTGGCCCTCCCCACACTGTGGACCAGGCTCTGGCCCTCTTTGTGCAGCCCCCACCCCTGCACTGCAGACCATCTCCTTGGGCAGATGGTGCCACTGAGGTGAGGCCAATCTAGCTCTAGGAGGCAGTGGGCTCCCAGGTAAGACTCCAGGGCAAGGCTCTGCAGCCCCAGCCCAATCTCTTCCTGGGGGAGCAGGAAAGGCCTCTGTGAGCACCTGCTGGTAGTAGGTCCTGGGCTGGCCACCCACCATGGCCACTCAGTCCTTCAGAGTGAACAGATGGTCAGAACTGAGGTCTCCTCCATCCACCGTCATCCTTAGTGTGTGAGGGGCTGAGGCCCGAGCCCTGGGTACCCTGTTCCAGCCAGACCAACAAGGATGTGTGAGGTCAACCCCTCCAACCAAGCTTCTTCTGAGGATCCCTGCAAGTTGGGACAGAGAATAGCTTGGGCTCAACTGAAGATCTCTGCCCTATACAGTCTGTGTGACCTTGGCCATGTCACTGTCTCTCTTTCCGAGGTTAGGGGTCATGTGGCTCAGTGGAGTCACCCCTCTTAGTGGGCATAGAGGGGTGCTTAGTAAGCAAGAGCTAGTTCTGGGGCAGATCCATGGGATTGGGGATATGAGCAGACACAAGGTGAACTCAAGCCACTGCCTGGGTTAGTCCTGATCCCTCTGCTTACTAGCCATGTGATCTTGGGCAAGCCCTAACCTCTGTGCCTGTGTATCCCCATGTACAAATAAGAATAAAAGCAGTTGTTTGGTGATGTTGTTCAGTCAGCTGGGCACAGTGCTGGCCATCATATTACCCACAGCCCTACTGAGAGATGATGGGCCTACAAACCCCTTAGGAGTGGTGCGGGCAGCCCCAACACTGCCAGAGATTCTGGCAGCCCATTTTTCCAGAATCTCTGAGGGTACCCATATTAACCCAGACCTTTCTCCCCACCTCACACCTCTCCTGAAGTCAGCACTCCTCAAAACCAAGAGAGAGAGGGAGCTCAGGTGGAGGAAACAGGTACAGAGGGGAAGAGACAGCAGCCTATATCTGTACTGCAGGGAGAGGCTGCCCAGAGTGTGCAGGGAGGTGGCCTTTTGGGATCCACTGAAACCTGAATGCCTGTGAGCCAGGTGGGGCTAGGCCACAGTGGCCTTTGAAGGGGAAGTGCAGTGGGGCTGGTGGGCAGGGGTGGGGCCAGCGCCCAGCGTTTGGAGGACTATGCCCCCGTCCCCAGGCTATGCTGTGCTAAGCCTACTGCAGCCACCATCATACGCATGGATCTGCTTATAGGGGTGGCCTGGGAAGTGTCACTCCAATTTCACAGGTAGAGGTGGGGGGGACTGGACTCAGCTGGCCCAGCCATTACCCCAGTTAGAACTGGGATTTGAACCTAGGTTCTGAATGACTGTAGAGTTCCTCCTGACTGTAGTGCTTTAGATGGATCCTTAGAACAAGGTGCCCCCTGGAGCTCTGCTTTGGACTGAGGGGTCCATTGCTGCCCCATGCTCCACTCCCTCACCTGCCTGCCCATCCAGAATGAAGTCATGGGCAGGCATCCTGCCACTGGCTGGGGCAGGAGGGGCAGCTGTGATTCGCAGGCCCCAGACCAGCCAGGCTAATGCACCAGCAATGAGATAAGGCTTACTGGAAATGTCCCTGGAATCGAGACTCTGATAGAAACAGGCTTCTGGGTTAATATAGTTTTGATAAATAAAGTCTTGTAAAAGGGAAGTCCTAGGGGCCTGGGGCAGGAGCAGGGGCAGCCTCGGTTCTCTTGGCAGTTCATGTGTGTGGGAGGGTGTGTGGAATTGGGGTGTAGATGTGGATATGTGGTGTGGGGGTGGGATTGGGGTATAGGTGTGGCTGTGGTGGCGGGTGATGGAGGTGTTGATTTGGGTATGTGGTGTGTAAGGGGTGTGGGTGTCTCCATGTCCCAGGTGTCTGTCAATGTCTAGGTGTAAGGATCTTATTGTCTCTGGGTGTGTGTGTTTCTTTGTGTGTACTAGCAAAGGCTTGTCAGGTTGTGTGTCTCTGGTATGTCTATGTAGGAGGAAAGTGAAGAAGAGGAGCCTTGGGTCAAGTGTGCATAAGGAGGTGACAAGTGTGTCCAGGGCAATTTTGTTCTTTGGGCCAAAGGGACTTGTAGGTTGGTGGGGCCTCTTCCTCAGGACTTGGTAGAATGGGAAGAGGCTCCTCACCCCCATTCCACAGACCCTCAGCTCCCTTCAAAGTGGTCCTGGACCCTCTCAATGCTGGCTTACCCCTGAATTGATCCAGGCCTCAGGCCTCCTAGCCTTCTCTGCCTGGTCAGCCTCCACATGGAATTTAGCTTTCCAGGTTCCATTCCAGAGACTAATATCACCCCTGCTTATGGCCTCCTAGCTCCTAATTCAGCCACGTCTGTCCTCCCTGGCCATGACTAGGGTAAGGGATGGCCTCAGGCCACGGGGCCACCAGGGCAAGGTCTTGAAAAGAGAGGAATTTTTCAGGGGAGAAGAAGAGTGATGTTCTGACAGAGGGAACAGCAGGAGCAAGGGCTCTAGCGAGAGTACTTGGTGAGACCTGCAAGAGGAGAGCTGAAGTCATGGCTACCCAGTCTCCTCCAGCCCCTGCTGGACTTCCAAGAGCCTCCACACAGGTAGCCCTGATTAAAAAGAATAATTACCACTTGGTTAATAATGGAATCCAGCAAGCCATTAATTAGCCCAGTTCAACCAGCACAGGGAGGCAGCACAGGCAGTTAGGGGGAAGCACTGTGTGTTCCCTGGGGATGGTTGACCCCAGTTCTGGGCTTGCTGGGGTCTGCTGTGGGAGCCCAGTGCCTCTATTGAGCACCAGTAGTAGAGGCAACTGTGGAGGCAGGCTGTTATAGTGCTGAGGGCACAGGTGGGGAGATTGTGTCAGTGAGGGTTTTAAGAGACCCCCAACTTCCTGCTAGCTTTGGACACTCAAACACTGACTCTGCAGGGCCCACCAGAGGGCCAGAGATGATAGGTTGAAGGAAAACCACCAGAATTGGTTGGTGAATGGCTGAGGCCCTGGAGGAGGAAGAGGACATCTGGGAAGGTGAAGAGGGCACTTGGAAAGGTTTGGGGATTCAACAGAGAAGTAAAACATGGGAATTGGGATGGATTAGGGAAAAGACCCAAAGTTGATTATTCCACATTTATTGAGTGCCTCCTGTGTGCTGGGTCCTGGGGTCACAGCCCAGTGCTCACTGGATGTTGCTGGGCAGGAGCAACTTGGACCCCACATGTCCCACGAGGTGGCCTGCAACCCCTGTGTCCAGGTAGCCTCCTCTGTGCACTGCTGCTATCAGGCAGAATAGAGCTAAACCCTACCTCCAATCCAATTCCCAACCCTACCTCATGTACCTGGAGTCTCCCCATGTGCCCACCGCAAGGTGTTGCTCAATTTCCTCACCCCCCCACCCCACCCAACCCAGCATGTTATCATTAGCTTTGGTGGGGAGACAACACAGCACAGAGAAACTCACTTTCTGTAGCCATAACTGGGGCTCCAGATAAAGGCCAGCCAGAAGCTCAGGACAACCTGGGAAGGCTGGGATAAGGGGCCAGTTTCAGCCACAGGCCTTGCCCCTCGAGGGACACCCCACAGACTCAACCCTGAGCCTCTTGGCTTCCCGTACAGTCACCACCTCACCACTGGGCTGGGCCAGGCATCAGGTTGCTAACTGCCACCTCATTCCAGTCGGCCAGAGCCTCTGCTTCCCTGACCTATACACCCCCATCCCCTCCCCACAGAGTCTCATCCCCAGTTAAGGTAGGTGACCTGTGAGGGTGTCTATGACTGAGCACCTCTGTCACAGCCATGCTCATTGGGCTGACCAAGGGGCCTCAGAGGGACCATCTGGGTCCCTGGTGAAGACTGTGTACCCTGCCTTCCTAACACACTCTCCTTCCATTCCTCCTTTCAGCCTCTGTCTCTGCTTCTGCCTCCACATCCATTTCTCTTTTATCTTTCATGGTGAGCTTGGCTCCAACCAAGGTCCAGTTCACTTCTCCCACCTGCCACACCCTGAGGTTAGGGCCCGGCCCTGGGCAGCAAACCACAGTGCGGCAGGTTAGTCAAGCTAGGGGTACAGGTCTGTCACATGCAAAAGGCACCTGTGGAGTCCAGTAAGCTCTCTCCTCCCACCACCTCTTTGCCTGTTCCACCCTTGCACCTGCCCCTCCAGCTTCCTGGACCC